GGGGGGGGGGGGGGCAGTCAGGGCAAACAGCAGGCACTCAGTACATGATCCCGCCCTTCCCGTTTCGGGATGAGCAGCTGGGGCCCAAGGACGGAGGCTCGTCTCACCACCAGGGGGCAGTGTTATCTGCTCCCGGCTCCAAGCTCCATGCTCTGTGAAGCAGGGGCCAGCCTGGATTTCCAGGGAGGCCTGGAGTCCCCCGAGCTCCCAGCGAAGCCCCCCCCATCTGTCCCCGGGGCAGAGGTTCAGAGGCTGCGGAGAAGTGCGAGGCGGCCACGCCTAGGTGCTGACTGATGCTTCCCAGACGCTGGAGAAAAGGGCGGTGCTGGGAGGGGGTTCAGGGAAAGTGAGGCCCCCGCGCAGTGGTTAGAGCAGGGCCACACACGTCCCAGGACAAGAGTCTCGGGCAGACCCCAGCTCCCCACAGGGGCCACGCTTGTGATTTTCAAACCTTGAGGAGACTGAAGGAGCCAGAAAGTTCCTTAAGTGGCTGGTCACTAAAGCCCACCGCACTCGACTAACAGCCCTCAGGAGCGGCTCCGACCTCCGGAAAAGGGCCGTACCACGGCCCCTCCCACCGGCATGGGGTCCGAGGAGAGGGGGGTCCAGGGAAGACTGTGGGGAGCACAGGGAGGTATCAACAGGCACGAAGGAGGGGAACCCCACCCCCACCTCGCCAAACTCCCGCCTGGAGAGAAATCCAACATCGCACCCTGGGCCTCTGGAGGGAGCTGGCAGTGGCTCCCAGGCCCGATCACAGCTGGGACTCGGGGGGCAGCTTTCCACAACTTCAGGTGCCCAGGTTCCCCTCGAGACGGGCCAAACGAGAACCTCCAGGGAGGGTCTGAGAAGTCTGCATTTATTGCCTCTGGATCCAGGTGGTCGAGAGGTTTAGGAGCCTGAACTGTCCCCACTCTCTCCCTGTCCTAAGGGCGGAGGAGAGGGAGTGATGTTTTCCGTCTGCCATTCGAGCGGAGGGATGGGCTGTCTATCAATCCTGACAACCTGTCTCCAAACGGCTCCAACTGGCAGCTTCACCCAGGCATCCAAGGGGCACGTTTGCACACGTAAGTACACACACAGGCAAGCTGGGCAGGAGCCCACGCTCAGCAGGTGGCCAGGAAACCAGGCCCGGGGGCCCATCCCAATCTTGAAGGGACATCCAGTTCCCAGAGTACAGCCCCCGTGGGCGGGTGGGTGGCAGCCAGGGGCACGGCAGCCGAGGTGTCAGCTGCGGTCACAGGTGGCGGGCTGCCTCCCAGACGATCTGCAGGGCCATGGAGGCGCAGGGGAGCTGCGCCACGGTGTAGGCCAGCGAGCGGATGGGCGCCCGCAGCTTCCCCAGGTAGGCCACGGTGTGCACCACGCGGCCCAGGAACACCAGCAGGAAGTGCGTGTGCGCCACCCACGGGCTGGGCTCCAGGAGGGAGTAGACAAAGCCCAGGAACAGGAACGGGTAGATGGTCTCCATGTCGTTCCGGTGCGCTCTGGGGAGGCAAGGGGTGTGGTCAGCCGGGCATCAGCTTTGAGAAGGTCACGGGAGCTGGGGCCTCTGCCCTGAAAGGCCCTGCACCACAGGGGACCATCTCAAGGGTGCCAGATACAGTCCATTCCTGCGGGAACGAGAGGTGCCACGGCCACTCCCACCCTGGCGCCCGCAAGCAGCTGAGGATACAGCCCTGCTCACAGGCCAGGGGCCACAGGCGGCCGGTGGGGCTCTTTCCCAGCCCTAGAGCTCCCCAGGGCCCGGTCCCTGCCAGTCTCCCCAATCTTGCCCTCTGACCTTGGACCCCCGGCAGGAAAAGTGGGGCTCTGAGGGGTTGGGTGAGAGCTGGGGGGACCTCGGTCTGAGTCAAGTTCTGTCCCTTTTAGCACCAAGGCTCCTCTGAGGCCACCCGCTTCCCAAATGCAGGTTCCAGGCCCCTCCGGCCCTCGGACCCACATTCTTTAAGGGAAGGTCTCCGAGGGAGCGGGTCTCCCAGGCGGGCTGCGCTGTCCCTGACACTTAGATAAATGTATTTTTATCTAAAAGCATCAGGAAAAGCGTAACTAGCATCTGAAACCCATTCGTTCACTTTTCCGCGAAGTGTCTATTTATATTTTAAGAGCGTGTCTTTTTTTAGAAAGCGGTTGGGAGAACAGTGGGCTGAACCCCCGGAGGGCAGGTGAGGGGGAGGGTGATGGAGGACACGCGGGGCTGACTCTGCACCTCAGGAAACCGCGCGGGCGCCGACCCCCGCCTCCTGGCACCGCCGACCCCCCTTCCTGGCACCGCCTGGCCGGGAGGGAGGTGGGGGGGCTGAGAGGAAGCCGGCGGCACCCGAGCCCTGGGGCCGGCCGGTCCCCCTCCTCCCTCCCGCTCGTCTCAAACCACAGTGGTGCCCGGATGGGCCGCATGGGGAAACGAGGGATGGTGCAAGAAAACGAATTCCCTTCCTCCCCACCCCAGGCTCTGACCTGAGGCCTACCAGAGGCGCTTGGGCCAAACCTGTCCCCCCAACCACCGCCCGATTTTAAGGTAGAAGTCAGGTCGCCCAGAGCCAGTTCCCTCCTGCAGCACCGGGCCTGCCGGCCCCAGCAGAGGTTGTAACACCGGCCGCATTTCACAGCACCGGGTGACGGGTGATGGGCTGGAGACGAGACCTAGGTGCCCCAGGGACACCGCTGGCGGCACAGCAGGCCCCCCTCCCCTTGCCCCTCTCTCCAAACACGATGGCGATTTCCCTGAATTCAGGTTTGATGCGACGTTAAAGGCAGCTTAGTTGTTTTGTTTTAAACTTCACCCAAGGCTATTTTTTCCATTGCTCTTCAGGAGAGAGGGGGGGAGAGGAACATGGACGTGAGAGAGACACACGGATTGGTGGCCTCCCACACGTGTCCGGGCCGGGGCTGGGGCTGGAGCCTGCAACCGAGGAGCGTGCCCTTGACCAGAACGGAACCCAGAACCCTTCGGCCCGCAGGCTGACGCTCTGACCACGGAGCGAACCAGCCGCGGCCGGGCCGCCTGGCTCCGAAGGCGGGTGCAGAACAGCGAGACCCTCGGTGCAGAGCGGAGGCGCCGGAGCGGAGCCGTGCCCGCGGCCGGGGCTGCCCGTGGTTCTCCCTCTGCAGGTAGCGGCGGCCGGGAGGCCCGGGCNCGGGAGGCCCGGGCGCGGGACCCGCCAAGTGCTCAGAACAGCGCCCAGCACCGAGCAGGAGCTTCTAGGCCGCCTGCCTTCTCCGTCACCACCGTCGCCACCGTCCCCAGCCCTGTCCCGGACACGCTGGTTAAAGCTGTCACCCCCTCGGTTTTGCCAGACTCCTGACCACCCTCAGCCGCCTCAGCCAAATGAATAACAACATTCCCCGTGCGATGGGGANGCCTGCCACTCTGCCCAGGGGCCCCTCAGCCCCCTGGGCCAGGGCTCACCGCCCCCAGAAGCAACGCAGCGGGCGGGCGACGTCTAAGGGCCGGGATGCGGGACCCAGACCCCTGCCAGGGCAGTTCGATGACCAGTCTGCACATCCAGCCCGAAGCCGCTCAAAGCCCATCAGGCTTGGGGGCCACTCGGACCCTGCTCACTGCCGCTTCCTGCACAGACTCGGAGTTGCCCAGAACGTGCGTTGGCGGAGACGGGGGTGGTGGCATGAAAGGAAGGGGGGTTCCACTGCCCCCCACCCAAAGCTGGCGCCTGACCGCCCAGAGCTCGTTCACATTCAGACTCGGCCAGCAGATGTCTCCTCCGGGAACCGGGCCCTGGGGGCTTTCCTGTTCGTGGGGAAGGGCACCGAGGCCACAGGTCTAATATTTAACCAGCGTTACCTCCAGGGCATCTTCCCCTCTGCAGACGGGCTCCAGCCAGTTCTCTGGGGCCGGCAGCAGGGGTGCGATTCTGAGCTCCGCACCCTTGAGGTTCCCTGATGTTATTTATGTGGAAAGTCAGGAAGCGCTCAGCGGACCAGGAACCCCAGCTCTGGCCTGGTTGGCCCCCGATAAATACATGCCGGACGGATAAAAAACACTGTTAGATAAGAGGTGCTCAAAAAGTGCTGCCTCTCAACCATTTTCACATCAGAACGCTTGCAGGTGGTGGGTCATTCTGATCGCAAGAGAAAATGCGCTGGCCGGGGAGGCTGGCTGGTTAGGGCATCACCCTGATGTGCTAAGGTTGTGGGTTCCATCGCCCGTCAGGACACATAAGATTCGACCGATGGTGCGTAAATAAGTGAAACAACAAATCTCTCTCTCTCTCTCCTCCCTCCCCCTAAAATCACTTAAAAAACAACAACAACTGAACCGGGCGGGTGGAAATGTGTCTCACTGACATGGTGATGGCCAGTGAACACACACCCAGTGTCTGTAAGCCCTGTAATCACTGCTGCGCCACAAGGACGCTTGACCCCACAGGACCCCCGGCCCCGGGAGGAGCGAACCATCCCCGTGGGGCTGCCGCGAGCTGGCTCAGACCCCCGGGCCGGGCAGCCTGCTGCCTCCACTTCTCTGGCCCTCGGCGCACAGGGGTCGAGCTCACCCCGGGCGGGCGAGGGCGGGGTAAGGGCCCCCGGTCCGGATTCGAGTATGGGCCGGGCTTCTGTTCACTGACGCCAAGTGTCTTGCACATAGTAGGTGCTCATTAAACGTTGACCGGCTGATGGACAGAGGGCTGGGCCTCACAGCAAGGACGTGCTGCAGTTACATTAGAGAAGGCGAAACGGCGAATAATTCCACCTCTGACGTCACACACTTGTGCGATTTCTAAAAGCCACAAGCACATGTATTCTCTCCAACGGCCAAGAAAACCAGAAGAAAATTAAAAACAGACTTTCTTTCAAGAACATTCTCTCTCTTACTGACGCTGGTGTCCCGCCCATTTCTGCCTGTGCCGCGGGCACCCTGGTGAGGGTCGGTCTGTCTCCCCTCCCCACGTCTCCC